TAATTTTGTATTGAGTGATCTACCTTTAAGAAATTAGAAGTTTGTTTTCTTCAAAGTGTTCACCTGAAATCTATCACTCAGAAGGAAAAAAGAAGAATTCTTCAGAAATATAGGTTGGCCCTATCTCCAGGAGCTCCCCCTCACTGGAAGTTTGGTTTAATTAGAAATAGAGACTTATTAGTGAAACAGATTACGTAAAATTGGTACCATCTTTGTTCTGATTCTCGATAATTATGAACTTCTAGCACTAACATGCAAACTAATGTTTACAATAAGAAAATTTAAGCAGCCATAACGCACATCCTCAATATACAAAATATCAAGGAAATTCTAGAATAAGCATGAATTACTTTTAGAATCAGAAAAAAAAATTAGGAGGAAGAAAATAGAAGGTAGAAAATGGAAATGTATGTGGTTCCTTATTTCTCACTGAAACTTGCAAGAATATAGCTAGTATTTCTTGCCCTGCTACTGTAAAATATTGCTAACCTTGCAATTCCATAATTCACAATGTGACATCAAGAATTCTATGCTGCAGATGGGCAAAGGATACGAACAGGCACTTTGCCAAAGAAGATATTCAGGTGGCTAACAGACATATGAAGAAATGCTCACGATCATTAGCCATTAGAGAAATGCAGATCAAAACTACGATGAGTTATCATCTCACTCCAACAAGGCTAGCATTAATCTAAAAAACACAAAATAATAAATGCCAGAGAGGTTGTGGAGAGTAAAATGGTACAACCACTTTGAAAATTGATTTGGCGCTTCCTTAAAAAGATAGAGATAGAAGTACCATATGATCCAGCAATCCAGCTCCTTGGAATATATCCTAGAGAAATAAGAGCCGTCATACGAATAGATATATGCACACCCATGTTCATTGCAGCACTGTTCACAATAGCAAAAAAGATGGAAACAACCTAGGTGCCCATCAACGGATGAATGGATAAACAAATTATGGTATATCCACACAATGGACTACCACGCAACGATAAAGAACAACAATGAAGCCATGAAACATCTTATAACATGGAGGAAGCTGGAGGTCATCACGCTGAGTGAATTTAGTCAGTTACAGAAGGACAAACATTATATAAGACAACTATTATAAGAACTCAAGAAAAGGTTTAAACACAGACGAAAACATTCTTTGATGGTTATGAGGGTGGGGAGGGAGGGTGAGCGTTATTCACTAAATAGATAGTAGATAAGAATTATCTCAGGTGAAGGGAAGGACAGCACACACTACAGGGAAAGTCAGCGCTACTGGACTAAACAAAAGCTAAGAAGGTCCTAAATACAATCAAACACTTTGAGGGACAGAGTAGCAGGGGTAGGGATCTGGGGACCATGCTTTCAGGGGACATCTAGGTCATTTGGCATAACAAAGCTTATTAAGAAAATGTTCAGCATCCTACTTTGGTGAGTGGCATCTGGGTCTTAAAGCTTGCAAGCGGCCATCTAAGATGCATCAATTGGTCCCAACCACCTGGAGTAAAGGAGAATGAAGAACATCAAAGACACAAGGAAAGTATTAGCCCAAGAGACAGAAAGGGCCACATAAACCAGAAACTTCATCAGCCTGAGACCAGAAGAACTAGATGGTGCCCAGCTATCACCAATGACCGACCGCCCTGACAGGGAACACAACAGAGAGTCCCTAATGGAGCAGGAGAAAGGTGAGGTGCAGAACTCAAATTCTAGTAAGAAGACCAGACTTAATGGTCTGAGACTGGATGAATCCCAGAAAGCATGGCCCTCGGAGTCTCTACCAGCCCAGAACTAAAATAATTTCCGAGGCCAACTCTTCAGACAGAGATGGGACCAGACAGTGGGACATAGAGTGATACTCATGAGGAGTATGCCTCTTAGCTAAAGTAGATACAAGAGACTGAACGGGCAGCTTCTGTCCGGAGGTGAGATGGGAAGGCAGAGAGGGTTAGGAGCTGGTTGAATGGACATGGGGAATCAGGGGTGGAAAGGAGGAGTGTGCTGTCACAGTAAGGGGAAAGCAATTAGGGTCACATAACAATGTATGTATAAATTTCTGTATGGGAGACTAACTTGAAAAGTAAACTTCATTTAAACTACAACAATAAACAAATAAAAAGAATTCTATGTTGTATCACCCTTCCTTTCTAATAAGCATCCCAATCTGAAGCAGTACTGATTACTAGTAAAGATCCAGTTTGGGGGTCAGGAGACATGGGATTCCATCCAGGCACAATTAACTAGATAGATGAGTTTAGTGATTCACTTTTGTTGTTGCTAGGTGCCCTTGAGTCGTTTTCGACTCGTAGCCACCCCATGTGAAAGAGCAGAACTGCCCCCGCAGGGTTTTCTAGGCTGTAATCTTTATGGAAGCAGATCGCTATGTCTTTCCCTTGCAGAGCTGCCGGGCAGGTTCAAACTGACAAACTTTCGGTTAGCAGCCAAGCGCTTAAACGTTTGTGCCACCAGGGCCACTTAACCACAATAATTAAGTCTAGCTTTTAGGGACCAAAATATTCCAATACAATAAAAAGGAGGTACTTTTTACTCCTAACCCTTCCTTCCTAACACAGAGGGAGGGAAAGGTACACAATTTCATTTCTCAGAAAGCTGTAACATTGCCTGAAGCTTAGCACCTTACTTGCTGCTATCTACCCCCTTTTAGGGCCATATTTGTCCCATGTATCAGTATTCTGAAATTTGTTATTGCCATCTTGCACATTTTATATTAAAATTCTGATTTTAATGATTTTTCTAATTCCAAATAAAAAATTTTCACTTTGACAAGAACTTGTTTGGTTTTACTACCCTCACAAATCAGTGTAGTAAATAACTCTAATCAAGAGATCCAGGAACCAAGCTCCAAGCTACAAGAGAAACCAGACATCTAGGTTTGGAGGTTTCTTCATAACTCCATAGAGGAAACCACATGTAAGAAGAAAGGATTAGACATAAAGTTCAGGAAAAAAAATTCAAAATGGCTAAAGAATAAAACATATAAATAAAAATGTAAAGAATTACGATAAACTCGTTTGAAGAGGTACAATCATTACCAAGTAGAATTGATTTTATTACATCTGAAAATGCATATAAAAATGGACAGAACATAAAGAAAATTTAGTTGTTGATTAATGAAAAACATTTACTCACACTAAGCCTTGCTTAGATTATCTTTCATTTTATCCATAGTGTATATGGTTTAACTGGCTGAGGATTTTATATAAATGTGAGAATAGCTAACAAACTAGAAGAATCAGAAAACTTGACTAAAAAGTGACTACAGAATCTCCTCTTCCAAAAATTTTTAAATAATTAGGTAGACATATATGTATATAACTAATAAGTACTCATAGCTCACTATGAAATCCTATAATTTTTGTTTCAAAACACCTTCTAGAAAATTCAATAAATTGGAGTTCATTAAAATTTTAAACTTTGGTCTGCAAAATAAACAGTTAAGAGAATGAAAAGGCAAGCCACAGACCAAAGATTTGCAAAACATACTCAACAAAGGATGTGTATTTAATTATATGAATAACTCATACAATTCAATAATAAGATAAACAACCCAATTAAAAAACTGGCAAAAGATTTGAATGGATACTTCACAAAAGAAATTATAAAAACAGGCAAGAAGCACATAAAAAGATGTTCAACATCGTTATTCAAACCATAGTAAAATGCTACTATACATCTATTAAGATGGCTAAAATTAAAAAGACTGACCATAACAAGTGCTGGAAATGATGTGAAGTAAGTGGAACTCTCATACACTGATGGTGGGAATATAAAATGTTACAACTTTGGAAGAGTCTGGCAGTTTCTTAAAATGTTAAACATACATCTACCACATGATCCAGCCACTCTTCTAGAGATTTAACCAAGAGAAATTAAAGTATATATCCATACATAGCAGCTTGATTTGTAATAGTTAAAAACTGGAAATTCAAATGTCCAGGTGAATGGATAAACAAATTCTGATGTATCCATACAATGGAATACTCCTCAGCAATAAAAAAGAATGACTACTGATACATGCAATAATGTGAATGAATCTCAAAATAATTATGCTGAGTGAAAAAAGCCAGAACCCTCCCTCGAAGAAAGAGTATATACTCTATATTTCCTTTTTTTTTTTTTAATTCTAGAAAATGCAAACTGATCTATAAGGATAGAAAGCAGATCGGTGGTTGCCTGAGAAAGACTTACAAATGACAGGAGGAAATTTTGAGCAGTGATGGTTTCATGGAATTTAAATTCAAAAAAACAAACCCGTTGCCTTCACGTCGGACCCCACGTGCTACGGAGTAGAACAGCTCCATAGGGTTTTCTTGGCTATAATCTTTACAGAAGAAAGGCAGATCGCCAGGTCTTTCTTCTCTGGTGTTGCTGGGCAAGTTCAAACCACCAACCTTTAGGTTAGCAAGTTGAGTGCAAACAGCATGCGCCACCCAGGGAACATACATACGTACATACACACATATACATTCAAAATTTATCAAACTGTACACTTTAAGTTTAAATCTTTATGTCAAATTCAATAATGGTGCAAAATCCACAATAATAGTCATTTTTAAAAAGAAACTCCAGTTTCCTAGTCTCGGTCTCAACCCATATTCCCGCTGGGAACCGGCCCTCCACCTCCTTAGTCTTGCAACTCAAGACCGACACCTGTCCCTTCCACGTCCGAGAACCCTGAAAGACTCCCAAACTTCTACTGAGCTTCAAAGTATTCTCCTCTGTATTCCTGGGTCCTCAACTTCTGCCACATAAATCTTCTACCTTTGCGTTCGCAACAGTCTTACGGGCTAGTGACAAGTGTCCCCACTCACCGACTCACCCTCTCCCGTCCATGTTCCCACTTATCCACGAAGCTTCATCCGACAGAATACATCTCGATCCTGAAATACCACTAATGGGCTCGGAACCACCGAAAGCTGTGCCCCTCAGACGCCCCATTCCCGAGCCAGCCAGGTGACCTGGACACCCCTCATCCCGATTACCTGCCACCGGCTGGCCGCGCCGCGGACAGTTCAGCCACCGCGGCGGGATCTTGTTATGAGCCATGTCTTGGGGCCGCAGAGAGCCGCCCCACTCCACCAACGTTCGCCGTGCCTCCGCCGCCGCCTCCTCGCGGTCGGCTCCGCCCCGGAGGCCCGAGGCACCAGAATCAAAGCCGGGGTCCGAATCCAAGCCGCTACTACCGGGGTAACGTCAGCGGCAGCGCGCCACTTTCATTCAGACTCGGCTCCACTGCTCCGGGCGAACCCACAATGCACTGCAACTTCCGCCCCAAAGGCCCCGCCCCCTTCTTTCCGAGGTCAGAGGGGAAGAAGGGAAGGTTGGCGGGGGGATAGGAAAGAGTTAAGGCCACCGCGAATGGGAGGAGCGAGTCTTCCCTCGCCCCGCCCCGCCCCGCCCCGCCCCGCCCGTCCAAGAATTCGACGAGCTTTTAGGACGCTTTTGTGGGTACGCTTCACGGTTCTGAGCTAGCACCTGTTTTCTTTTTCCAGCCGGTCCACCGAGGGAAACCCCAGAAAATGGAAGGAAACCAAGCGTCTTTTCACGCGTAGACTTACCTACCGCTTTCATGAGGGCATCTGTTTTAGCGATGAAAGGGCCTTCCCACTGCTACTCCTCCGAACTCTGGGCATCCCTTTTTCGGCCAGAATTGGTGCCATGCTGGATTTGGGTTGATTTGGATTTTGGGAACGTTCTCCCTGACACAGATCAGGAAAGCAAGTTTTAGAGCAATTCTAAGGGCGAGGCATTGGAGTACTCAGAAAGGAGTAATTTCTCTTGGGGGGGGTACTTCGAAGGAATCATGCATGAAGCGTCTGATATCCTATTGCAAAGCATTTTAAGAGTTTTGTTCGTACATTTCCGGATCAATGTTTCGAAGCATACTTGGGAGTATCAGAAGGCTCATGTCTCAAAAAAAAGTTACTAATGTGTCTAATTGGCAAAGGCAGGAATTGCCGGATAGGATACCACCTCGTGGGGGTGTTTTCCATTGCCTACCAAATAAATGATATTTCACTTCGAGTTAAGCAGGAGTGCTTGGAAGCATTTCATAAATGCCATCCTAAATAAGACTTAACAAGTTGAATTAGTTAAAGTATTAACTAAAAAGTTAAAGTTGGATGAGCAAATTACAAAGTAGCAGGTTGAATTTAAGCACCAATGCTACTTTAAAACTGCAAGAGTGTGAGGCTTTGGGGGATATATTTTGGAAGGATCGGCCGGGTACTAGGCAGCTCTGTCCCTGAAAGCCTCTTGTTAAAAGTTGGGATTCTCCCATAAATAGAAGTGAGCCCAAAGGCTATCTCTCTGAAACAACCATAATAACGGGTCAGGCTCCTGGTCTGTCCTGGTGTTGCACATGCTAAGACCTTTTAGTGAAAGCAGCACTGCACTGCTGACAGGACAAGATAACACCCAGTTCCTTACAGTCTGACCAAATGATGCCCAATTCCCTTCTCAGCCTGCAGGGTAGAGTGGGTGTCATTCCCAGAGTGGTGAAATATTTAATTCCCCCAACTCCCATCCATGGATGGGAAAGATGAGTCTGGTCCTAGGAGACTATCTTATATTCCCCTTCTGGGGATAGCTCACCTTGGAGACTGCCCTCGCCACACAGATTATGTCCACGAAGGGAGCTCATTCTAGGCACATAGAGCTTCCCAGAGGCTTCATACCACTGGGCAGTGAGTTATTGTCTGTAAGGCAGCAGTGCATGCTTAATTTTTACTCCACTATCCATTGGGAGGGCCCCCCTGGTTCCCCTTTGCCCACAGTAGAAGGTAGAGTAGGAGAATAGCATCCAAGTGAGTGGAGAGTTTCTCTTTCCATACCAGGAATCCCTTGCCAGATGGATATTTCTGCCTATATCACTCTTAGTCCTAGATCTGCTATTTGGTAAGAGAAAAAATAGTTGCCTACAAAGGACCAACGTGGCTAGGGGCAGCAGAGAATTAAATCTCATGAGCAAACTCAAATTCACCCTCTCTTCCTCCTGCCAACTGCTTTGAACCTACCGGAGTTTAAAGTCTCCTATAGTACTCTTTCCGTCTGGTCTTCTCAGAGGCTCCAGGAATTTCTTCAATGATCAGTGACTCCTATAAGGCCCACGCTCATGTCTGCACCTCAGTTCCCACCACAACAAGGTCTCGAAATGATTCCAGTTCTAGGGTACAGATATACACCCAACCCATATACAGACTCCTACATATACACATCTGGTTCACAAGCCATAAATCTGTGTGCAAGAATATTGCCATCTCTTGGCTGCTAACTGAAAGATTTGAAGTTCAAGTCCACCCGGAGGCACCTTGGATGAAAGGTCTGGAGATCTATTTTTGGCAAATCAGCCATTGAAACTGTGCAGCCTATGGCACACAGTTTTACTCTGACACACGTTGATAGCCACGAGTTGGAGTTTGACTTGGCAACTGTATTTGGTTTGGTTTTATTTTCTCTAAAGCAACTTAATCTTGATTCTGAGTTCTCTTCCTGCTAATCAGGAAATTCCAGCTCTGGCATTGTTGGGATTTCCTGTCCCACTTCTATTCCTAAAATTATATCTTGGTTTTAGGGGCTCAGATAACACATGTCAAAGCATGGGGCAAAGGGAAAGGTTGGACTATATGCACTGACCATCTGTTCATACAGTTTACACTAATACTTGGCATGGCCCCATCAGGTCCAGCAACTCTCTACTGCTTCTCAGTCACACTGTGGGGATAGGACATCATTTGTGAGGCTGGGAACCCTGCTCCTCACACCTTCTCTGTCTAGGTGCACCTACAGCCATTCCTCTCCAAAGCCCTGCAAGAGAGCAGGCCTGGATCCGGAAACTGTAGAGTCTCAAGTAATATAAAATACCTTCCTTCACTAAGCAGACAATCCTAAAGGAAGGATTAAATAAGTTCATGTGACTGGATAATATTTTAAGAAATTAATTTTTTTAGGGCTTGATGATGGAATGGACATATGAAATGAGGGAAGCATCAAAGATGACTCCAATCTTTCTGTCCCAAATACAAAGGTCTCTAGCTATCTGACCAGCTCCAAGAATCCTGTTATTTGAAGTATAACAAACAGCATCCAAAATGTATATACTGGATCATTTCTCCCGAATAGTGAAGAGTTGGATGTATTTGCTTTAAAAGACTAGAATTCCCCATAAATTCTCCGCAAATGAAAACAACCATGTACAGACGCTAGATGGCACTAAAAAAAGGTAATCCAACATCTCACACTAGATGGCGCTGAAAAACTAGGTAATCCAACCTCTCTTTGCTTTTCAACAGCCAAGAATATAGGTCAGTGAGTCAGGTTCTCCGTTTACACATGTGCGTGCCTCTTCCAAAGGTTCAATTTGGCCCTAGTTCACCAAATTCATAATAACAGAGGTCAGCCCAACTTACCAGATGATTAAATAATGGTATGACTAGCAGGCCACCTTTGCTATGCAGTGTATATAAATTTCTTCACTGGAAAGTATTAAAGATTAAAAGGAAAACAAATAACTGCTTTCTAAACATTGCTGCCAATGCAAGAAGATTTTCAGAAAGATAAATAACTATGCCTCTGTGTGCCATTAAAAAATAAGAGTCATACTACTGTTAAATAATGTGGGACATGGCCTTTTCATTTGATAATAAAACTTTACCAGTGAATTATGACTTACCAAACAGTGTTTATACAAAGCTGATGTAATTTGAGCTAATCCTCACAACAATTCTGTGAGGTAGGCATTGCTAGCATCTCCATTTTACAGATGAGGAAACAGGCTCCAAAAGGCTCATAAACTTTCCAAAAGATTTGCAACCAGAAAGCAAAGGAACCAGGCTGTAAGGTGTTGATGTGAAATACTGAAAAGAGCCTAACCACAGTGCTACCAGGGCTCCAACAAGCTGCCAAGTGATGCCAATACTACTTGTTGGAGGATCAGTGGCCTTCCTATTGTGGGAGGCTAATGAGTAACATTGCCAAGGTATAATATCGTCCCAAAACTAAAAAATGGGCACACTGTATCTGCATCAGTGCTTATAGTTTGAAATATTCTCTGTTACTGCCTATTTGAAAGCAGAACTTCCTTGCTTGGTGTTACATTTGACGTCATTTTATTCTTCTAGATTAATTGGAACCTATCAGATCCTATTCGGGAATGAAACTTGGTTATTTCAGTTATCAGTCACTAATATATCCATATCATTTGCTTCTTAGACCAATTGCTTTTTAGTCTTGATTGATAGCACACCTGGCATCTCAGACGGAACCACCCCGGATATCCTGTGTAATATCTGATATGAACCTGATGCTTTATGTCTTTGCAACATAAAACAATAATCTTTACTTAATTATACACTTATGTAAGCATTCTGTTTCCCAAACATTTAACCCCTAGATTTCTCTACTCTCTGCATACTGGAACACTCTTTTGTCTCTGTGGATTCCACTTACTTAAGATCAATTTGTCTGAGAAATTTTGAGTTCACTCTACGTAGTTGTATTTTACAATGTACAAACACACTTTTATCCACATTAACTCACTTGATGCTTAGAAAAACTCCATGAGTTGGATAGGGAAGATATCATTTTCCCCAATATAGATCAAGGCTCCAGAAAGGTTGTGATATACACCAACTCAGCCAGGGTCTCCTGACTCTAAATCCCAAGCACTTTTCACTGCATGCCACTGCTTCCCTACTCTCATGATTCAGTCTGCATGTGACTGAGCAGAGAGTGTCCATGCTGTTTATGAAGAAAAAGGACAGAGGGAAGTGGGATAAGTTTCAGGATTACTTCATTAGGCGAAACGAGAAAATGAGTGCTGAGTAAATTGAGGCAGGTTGATGGCTAGGGAAAACCTCACATTTCTAGTGACATATTTCAATACTCCAGGTTTTAGTTCTACAGCACCATAACCTCAAAGGTCATTGACTCATTTCTAGGGTGGCGATTTGAAATTGGGCCCTAGTTTTTGGCTCAGATAAAGGGCAATCAAGTCCCTTCACTCTACTCAAATTTATACTGAGCGCTTACCGTGTGTAAGGAATTCCAGGGGATGTAAAGATTAAGACACGTTCTTGAACCATAAAATGCTTATTATCTAATTGGGAGGGCAGTTATTTCAATTACTCATGTATTAATTCATTGAAAAATATGATTTAGCACCTTGCTATATGCTGAACACTATGTGAGGTGGAGAACAACAATGAACAAGATAGGCCTCCTCACCTCAAGGCATTTA